ACTACCCACACGATATAATATAAAGTGTCACTGGAGATGTATTAAGAGATCCTTTAAGTACAAAGCATTGTTAACAGTTATGGCTACTATTATTTGAAGCTTCTTTTTTCTTCAAAAGGCACAGTCTTGGTACATTACCTGTCTCCTCCAGAGAGGTCTTCAACGTTTCCAAACCCAGGGGTGGGCATAGGACAGCCCATGTGCTTGAACTGAGCTATGCGAGGTCTGGGAGCTGGAATTTTCCCATGAGACTTTCTGTGTTCCTGCTCCTCTTTGACCCGGGTGTTCTCCCTGTCACAGATGAAACACTCAAAGCCATTCAGGTAATTGGGCAGAGTCATGTCATTCACCCCCCATTCCCGCCTCTCCAAGCTCTCTAGCAAGAACTGGTTTTTGATTCCACCATGGTTTTTATACTCTAGATACTTCAAATATTCCTCTCCATTCTTGTCCAGGAAGTCAAGATACTTTGCCAGCTCTTGGGGGCTGTCAAAGTCATCTATCAGAATAATGGAGAGGTTGTTTGGCATCCAGTCCCGCACAGCTGGGGAGCCTCGGTATACTGGGACAGCCCCCAGGTGCATTGGACGCCACAGCTTCTCTGTCATGTAGTCATCACATATGGCATTCTCCAAGGCCAGATGGAACTTGTACCTGGCGATAAAAGTCATAAACTCAGAATCTTCTGTGGTTGCTGTAGAAGTGTCTCTCAGTCGTTCACTGGGGAGCTCACGATTATGCAGGCATTTCCCATAGGAGTCAACCTAAAACAACAACAGACATCTTTACAAAGTGACTTGTTTGCCTGGAGCTTGTTGTCAGAGCTTGTATTTCTTGTAAAATTCCTAACTTTGATCAGTTCCTAGCTTCTTTAGTTTAGCTTTGCTTTCACTCCAAGTTCTTTCCCTTGTGACTATACCTGTAGTCCCAGTTCTAACAATTTTAGCAGAAACTGAGGGCTCAGTTTCAAAAGCAGCATAAACAATGCTACAGATTGAGGGGCAGGGGGAATGTGCAGAAAGGAAAATGGTACCCAAAAACTTATTTATTAGTGGCTACATCTGGAACTCGGAGGTAAGGATGGGCATTCAGCTCCCTTTGAGTTAATTTAGAAGTGATCTACTTAACAGAGACGCAGCACTTTTCCAAACGGTTACTACACACAGCTCCTGCCAGTCTGAGCAGGCTGGCAAAAATGTTTCATTTGTCAGATGGAGGAAAATTGATGCAGGGAACTAAAAGGATACTGTCTAAAACTGAAAGCCCATACACTCGATCTGGAATCTGCCTCAAACTTTGACAATACAGTCGTATTTTAAACGTTCTTTTGTCTTTGCTTCACTACTGAGTAAATGATAAACTTGCACAATGAATGAATCACGACCAATAGAAACAGCAGAAATGGCAAGGAAACAGATGTTTTAGATAAACACTAAAACCTGATTTTATTTGTATTTCTAATCTACTGTCCTTCAGAATTTTTAAGAAGAAGAAAGCATTAATTTTTTTTTTTTTTTTGCTTGACAGAATCATTATCTCAGTTTATGAAGCTACTCTGTTAGCTGTGCCAGTGCAATACGGACCACCACGGAAACAACACGGCCCTACACCACTTCTCAAGCAGCAGATACTCAAAACATCTTTTTACTGAACACCTGTACTTTCAAAAGGGAGCAAGGCTTGCAAACAACCAGCCTTCATGCAGGCTAACTTAAAGGTCCAGAGATTTCAGTAACTCCTGGCACTTGGTCCACTAATCCATTCAGGCTTAGCCCAACCTGTGACTGATCCCAAGTCTGACCAACTCCACAACTAACAGCTACCATCAGGCCTACCTACTGGCATGTGATGTAGTCTAGATCACGCTTTGGGAAGGAATACAACTAGTTTTTCTGTCCGGCTTGTAGTCGGCATGCATCCCCGTTACGATTCGTGCCTTGGCTAAAAGCAAAGACAAACAAACCCCATTAAGACGAGGAGGTGGAAGGAGGGAGGGAGGGGGGCAGCCAGGCGGACCCATCTCCTACAGCAACCCCACGCCACAGCTTCCCCGTGCATCCCGCCTACCTGGATGTACTTCATGAGCTCCCGCACGTAGCGGTCCCGGTCCGAGGGGACATCGCAGTGGGACTGCATGTACAGCACCGGGGCATAGCCCTTCTGCCGCCACGCGTCCTTCTCGGCCAGGGTCACCGCCGGGCCCCGCAGGTACCCCACGCCGGGCAGCCACTGCAGCGTCAGGGGATAGTCCGACTCCCGGCGGAACGTGGCTGTGTAGTTGAAGAGCTGGATACCCGGCGAGTGCGAGAGGACGTAGTTGTTCATGGGGGACTCCTCGTGGAAGAGCGCCCAGGTCTGGTGGGGCAGGCGGGGCAGCGGCGCCTCGTAGGCCCTGAAGTCGGTGCCGTAGAAGATGAGGGCCTTGGTGCGGCGGTGTCGGGCCACCCGCCGGCTGCGGGTGACGAGGCAGGAGCCTCGCGGGCAGTCGATGCGCTCCGTGTCGCCGGGGAAGTGTGGGAAGAGGCTCCCGCTCCACCACAGCAGGATGGGCAGCACCTTGTTGCTCCGCGTGTCGTTGTTGCCGGGGCCGCGGTAGGACGCGGCGGCCACGAAGGCCGCGCCCGGCGGGACAGCATCCTGCGCCCACCCCTCCGCCCCGCACGGTACAGCCGCCGCCGCCGCCTCCTCCTCCGCCGCCCCCGGCCCCTCTGCGGCGAGCGCGGCCCCCGCGCCCCAGGCCAACGCAAGCGTCACCCAGAGGCAAGCGGGGCCCCACCCCGGACGGAGGCCTGAGCTGCCACCACCCATCGCCGCCGCCCCGGGCCGGCACCGCTCGCCCCGCTACAGGAAGCGGCCGCAAGGGCCCCGCCTCGGAAGGCGCTCCGTCAGCTGCCGCAAGGGGCGCAAGAACCTGGGCAAGGCCGAGGAGGGGCTTCAGGAACGGGGCAGGGCGACGTGGCACGCTCTGCCCTCCGCGCAAGCTAAAGGCGGGAGGTAGGGCGTGCGACACGCTACACAGGACTGTCAGCGCTGCAGGACGGGCATAGTCTTACTTCCAGGTGCCTCTAACGCACCTGCAGCAGAACCTGGCTGCACCTACAGGGAGACACCCGGGCGATTTCACTGAGGCAGAGCCTGCCGAGAGCAAATCCACGCGTAACGAGGCATCTTCAGTACAAAATTGGCCTTTCGATGGCGCAAGAAAAGTATACCGAGGGAGGGAATGCCTTCAAGTGATATTTTTTATCTATCTACCACTAGGTTTAATGCACTCTTGAAGCTGCTCTTCTGTGCCAACCTTCAATAAACTGCTTTGGTATTAAAATATTCTGGAAATTGGTAATCTGCAAAACTGAGTTTAGGATACACTATAAAAATCTAGCAGAAGCATACTAGAATTACCACTCAATTATGGAAATGCTAAAAGCTTCAGATTCATTCCTTGAGAGGTAACTTAAGCCCAAGCACAGTACTTGGCTGATAATTCATAACACAGGACATCAGTATGAACACAAGCAAAGTATTCTCTAGCTGTGTAAGGAACAGGTTAAAACATGGGAACGTTTTTGCTTTCTTTTAAAAAGTTAGGTCTTTTCACTGCTAAACCATGATCCAGATGCATACCCCAGTCAGCACATAGGCACCACCCCCATGCCATCCGCACCAGCTCCTCCTCTTACATCCCGACAGAACGCTAACAGACATGGGCTCTGCAAGGCAACTTCCACATCCCTTGGAAGGGGTGCTGCCACAAAGATGCCTACAATTTACTCCACATAATTAACATACAAGATGCATAAGGACCATCATCATAGTAAATTAGCTCAGTGGCAGATTCTGGACATAATGTATATCCTTGTAGGAGGAAAACCTTACACATATGCTACAGCAAACTATGTAGGACATGGAACTGTTGGAACAAGTCCAGAGGAGGGTCACGAGGATGATCAGGGGACTGGAGCACCTCCCGTATGAAGACAGGCTGAGAAAGTTGGGGCTGTTCAGCCTGGAGAAGAGAAGGCTGCATGGAGACCTTATAGCAGCCTTCCAGTATCTGAAGGAGGGCTACAGGGATGCTGGGGATAGACTGGGCATTAGGGACTGTAGTGACAGGACAAGGGGTAACAGGTTAAAACTTAAACAGGGGAAGTTTAGATTGGATAAAAGGAAGAAATTGTTTCCTGTTAGGGTGGTGAGGCACTGGAATATGTTGCCCAGAGAGGTTGTGAATGCTCCATCCCTGGCGGTGTTCAAGGCCAGGTTGGACGAAGCCTTGGGTGACATGGTTTAGTGTGAGGTGTCCCTGCCCATGGCAGGGGGTTGGAACTTGATGATCTTAAGGTCCTTTCCAACCCTGACTATTCTATGTAGTTTTGGAGATTTAGTAACGATTGTCTTGTGCTTTCATACAGATTGTTGTAAGGGTATCAGCAAATTGTACAACACCAGTGTTCTAGGCTACAGTCAAGTTACAGCGCCAGTTCACTCAGAACATTATTTTGGCAGTTAGCACCTGCCACCCCCCAGAAAAAACAGACACCAAACAAAAAAAAAACAAAACAACAAACCACAAATGAAAAAAAGAACCTCAAACCAAACCCCAAACCCCACCCCGCTTCCCTGCTATCTTAAGTCTGAAACAGGAGCTCCAGTTCTCCAACACACACATAAGAATACCTCCCAAAGTAGACCAAAAAGCCCCTAGTGAAACTCAAGCCGTGTTAGAGAAAAGGGAAATCTCTTTGCAAAATGAAAGCTCAGAAGGGACAAAAAGTTAAAACCCAGTCACATCTAAGCAAAGTAACACTGAGATTAAGCAGCACCTTTTGTCTGCTGACTCAACTGTTGAGTTTCTTACCAAAAAAACCTGAACTTGGTCAGCAGACGATCAACTGTAAAGGATCCATCAGCTGGACTTCAGCCCTTCCCATTTCCTCCCTCCCGCAAAATACAGGGTTTGGAAAAATAAGCAGTGTTTATTTACTAACAATGACATAAAATACATCTTAATATATTTTTATTTCTTTACAAATTAAAAGATGCATTGGAAAAACAAGTGAAGAAAATGAAAGGTTCATTTATCATTTCATTTCCACCCCCACACCCCCCAGTATTAATACTAGAAATTAGTATTTGTGGAAGTCTGTGGTTGCTGTGCCTTATATTCCTGTGAAGTTCTTTTTCCCCCTCTGGTTAAAAATCCTCTAGATTTTTTGGTTGGAGGCAGTACGTGGAGTAAAAAGTCAGCCACATTCATACAAAAACGCTGAAGGTTCTGTCAACTACATCTTGAAAGAGTTTCTCCATTACAAGTTTCATATTCCCCTTTCTGTGTAGTGATGGGAGGGAAGACAAACTAGCAGCATTAGAAATAAAATGGATTCATACGCATGCTACAAGGATAGGGAACTAAAACCACAGGCAGGTATTTTTCTCACCTTAACAAGGACTTTTCTCTGAAATAGCAACCCCAGATAGTATGTTCTCTAATCCACTCACATTCTTCCTTCCACTTTTAGTGCTATTTGTAGCTTAAACTCCTGGGTATTGTAAGAATGCTTGTTAAGCGTTCAAGCCAAAATATACAAGCCCTCTTTCTAAATGAATAAACAAAGCCCTTATAATTCTGAATTTGATTTACACCCACTCCCTCATCGCAGGATTTTCTCTTCCACCCTTGCAGGATGGAGAAGCAGAGTGGCCTAAGTGGATGGATTAATCTGTCTGAGGTATTTTAGTTAAACAAACAGGCTTATAAAAAGGTTTTGTGCAAGCTGATCAGTAGATAGAATGGGGGAGGGTACAAACATCCGGTAATGAAACTCTTCACTATGGCCCAGATGCTTTCAATAACCGTAATCAGGTACTTGTAATACCTACTACAGTACAGTCTAAGTCTCAGGGGGTTTTATCTCCTTCCTTGTATTCCAGGGTACAAAGCAGTTTCAAATTTGCATCAGTATAAATAAAATTCCTACTTGTTTGCTATGATTCACAATAATATGGTTGAAAATGGCCACTTCCTTATCATCCAGTTCCTACACAGCCCCACATCACCTTGTTAAAAGCATTTTCTGCTTACAGTTAAGAGGTTTTGTTCCCACCACCATCTGATTAGACAGGTAAGCTCTGGAGGAGAGGCCATGGAACATGGATTGAGTAGAACATTACAGAGCCGTGCAATGAGAAGGACAGGAGACACCACACATGCCAACAGGAAGCACCAGCTCTACCCCTACACTGCTCAGAAGCTTTTGATTGTTGCTCACTGAACTACTATTCCATTACAGATCGGCACAGCAACTTATAGTATGGGGAAGATTATGGAAAGAAATTTGCCCTGTTGCCTCCTGGGTTACTGCTCATTTCCTTTTTCATGGCTTTCTGGTTCAGCCAGCCACATGATATATCTGTGCTCTGCAACTTCATGTTTCCCTCTTAAGAGGAGACACAAAATGTTTGGCTGCTCCAGCTCCCATCACCTGACCTGCCTCTCATCCTCCCCACCTGCATCCCCTCCACACTCGGAGCATGCACACACGCCCATACAAACACACAGCAACTACCAGAAGTTTTGAAGAGTTATCGCTTTTTCACCCAGTGTTGAATCATGTACAGTGAACTGAAAAAACCTACATTCATTACGACAGGGTTAGCGAGCATGGGGAGGGGGGTGAACTCCTGCCAAGCACAGGAAACAATTTAGATGCAAGTAAAAGACCTGGTATTAAAGGCCTTTTGCTTCTTTTTAGCCCTCACCAAGAAAATTTGTCATCTCTCATATGGGACTGGGAGAGGTTGAAAGGATTTCTGCTTATGCAATGTGTATTAAAAATTATGGAATTGTACAGATTTCTATGCTGTCCTTTTTGAGGGCGCTGGACCATCTGATCAGGTCATTAGTGGAGACCGAAATGTCACTGCCGAGTTCCAGCACCACTCCCTCCTCTAGCTCAGTAGTTGCCGAATCTCCTTATGCATGTGACACAGGAAGTCCACATATGAAGCCCCCCCACTCAGGCTCTTGTCCTCCACTAGAAAGTGTTTGAACAGCATTTCCAGCTTATCTTCTTGCTTCACAATTATTAACTACAAAAAAAAAAACAAACAACCAAGAACAAAACGAACAGTGAGTAGTTAGCAGAATTAAGGTTCTTGATAAACAAGAGCAAAAATCCAAGTAGCTCAAAAATACAAAGACAGATAATCAGAATCACACAGTGTATATGGCTTATGTGCTTTGACTTCTATGACTAAACCGGGTTATAGTCTCAGTCCTTTCCAAATAGAAAGAAGACACCATGTATGTGGTTTGTGCAATGCTATAACAGGTCTGAAAAAAATTACCTTTAGAACTACGGAAAGCAGAGAACTCCAAAACTAGTAACTGTTTTAACTGGCTTTGTGTTTTTTTTTTTTGGTTTTTTTTTTTTGTTTGTTTTTTTTCCCCAGACCCTTGTAAACTCTATGTTTGGATCATATTTATGAGATCAGGAAGCGTAAGTTCAGCACTGCAGCATTGCCAGGCATCACCTGCTCTGTTAAAAGGGAAGGGGATTTAAAGCTACGAATGGAGGACAACATTTTTACCTTCATGTAGCGGGATCTCTGCATTTGAAGCATGTCAATAATAGATCGTACTTTCTTTGAAAAGGGATTTTCCAAGACAGGCAGGGTACTCTGGAATGCAAGATACCCAATCCCCATTAGTCACATAAAGTAGAGCAACACTGAACAAAACTCAGCAGTTTTGTCATATTACATAAGATATATCTACTCCCACTAACATACAATCTCTTTGACAACAACTGGTTTAAAGAGAATTTAACAGAATATCAGAATTAAAGGTAAATTACTTGTTCCATTTACATAGCAACTGTTCTCCTCACCATCACTGGAGATGTGTGGCTTGTCAAATAAAGCTAGGCAAGACTATGTCTGACATTCCCAGACTAGGGGCATTTCCACTAGTTTCCCACACCTGCGCTTCCTCTTGTTCCTAGTATGAAAAAATTTAACAGTTTTCTCCGCTTGCTTTCTCACTGTTTCAAGTTTTGGGCAACACTCACAGATGCTAGTGCCTGCACTGCCATCCAACTCACCAGGCCATTGCTAATCTGACTGAAGGATGACACTCCAAAGAGGTTCTGGATCAAGCCTTGTTGCACGTTGACTCCCACCCACACAAAGATGTTCAGCCCATTCTCCAGCAGGTATATGTCACCCTTGGAAAGACGTTCTTCTGAGTTCCGGATTGCTGCTGGCAAGGAGTCACTGTCAACATCTGCTTTGGTCTGGTTTAGAATGAAATAAAAAAAAATTAAAAAATCAAGGTTATAATACAAGAATATCTTACAAAGTCCTGAAAATTTCTTCCATAAAGACCCAAATGGTTTTCTCATTTCTAGGACTTGTAAGACTGCAATAGCTGTGACTGAAGTATCATGTTGCTTAGCTTAGTTTTCTTACTGAATGTGACATAGAAGCAGAGCAGAGACTCTTAGTCAGCAAAAGAGAACATAAGGCATCTGTAAAATTACTAGATCTAATATTGCTTCCTGGAGTAGGAATGTAATTAGTTCTTAGTGTTATTCCAGCAGCTATGGTAATGAAAAGCCAGAATAGTGCATGGAGTTGCTCTGCAATAATGAAAACTACTACATAAAGTTACAAGAAGCTTTAGGATTTTTAGGACTGTGAAAGGGTCAAAAGTGTCTTCTTTGCCACTAGTCATATGCTCACAGCTCAGGAAAAAAAAATCCCCCAGCAAATTCACAAGTTGCAGTAATGCATCTATCACTGAGTGGAATTAAGTACCCCAACAGATGGCAGATCCCAAATCTTTCTCAAATCGCTTTCACTTGATAAAATATAAATGCCAGTCCTTATGGAAAGTCAAGAAAACAGCAAGTCTAAAGCGGCAAGAACATACTGAATTACTCACCAGGGGCAAAAGCCTAGGATAAAAGAAAACATTTGTTTCAGCCACATCCATGGATGTGACTAACTGACGAATGTAAGCACGGTCATCTGTTGTGACCTCTAGACCAGGCTGAAGGACGTCGCTCTTCAACACACAATTCAAGTACACAGGAAGCAGCTTCATGCATTCAGGAAGGATCAGCTACAAGTCACAAGCAGACAGAAGATGGTCAGCTGTCTTGCTGAATAAGCTTATGTCTGACAAAACGAGGCTTGCATGAACCAACAAAGTGTGGTACAGGTGTGAGGAGTGAAAGTTGACAATCTAATTATATCATGGACTTACAAAGGTAACTTAAAACTTTTCTATGGAGCAGGAAGTGCTTCCTGGGCTCCAGATAGATGTCCAATAAGCTATTCTCAACTACAGTTTTATTTGCAGTCTCTTTCTGAGTCTTCTCTTTGCAAGTTTCTGCTGAGCAAAGCAATTTTGAACAGGGTAAGTAGGAGGAAGAAGCTCTCATTACTTTTAATATCCAAGCCTGTGATTTAAGTGAAAGCACTGGAGTTTACCTGGCCAGCAGAAGAGGGACTAGCACAGTTCTTTCTATAGCAAGCTAGGATCTGGGCACACTGGCTGATCAATGCATCTCGTACAGTCTTTACTGGACTACTCAGAACTCCACGATATGCTGCATAGAAAGAGGAAAGAGATGGATGGCTATCAAGTGATTGCTCATAAACAGTAAAAAAAGTGAACACTACTTCCACAAAGTAAATCTAAACAACTATTGTTTATGAAAGGGCAGTTAAAGAACTAAAACAGTCCAAAAATAAATACAAGGATTAATTTAGACAACTGTCAAGACAAACCTCTATTAAAATAAATTTAGACAAGAATTTGCATGAAAGATAAGCCCACATGCTCTATCTGTACTTCTTGTCCCAAGCAACAATACTATCATCACAGCTTTAAGCTCTTTCCCATAAATGACTGAAGTATCAGGATTGCCACCTGACGTTTGATGCATGGAGAATAAACATGTGTCACTGGATGGCAACAGGTATTTTAACAGCAGTTAAAGGTTGCAATTCTTGTTACCATATTTACCCTTACCATATTTAGCCAAGTAATTTATGAGTGTGTCTGTCTCACAGTTTCGATACAGGTCAGCAAGCTGTGTGCAACAGTTTAAGGACAGGTTGTGAATGCGGAGTCGTCGCTGTCCTGTGCAACTTGTATATAACAGAGCACACTGTAGGAGACAAAAATGCCAGGATATAGAAAAATTAGGTCCTCCTACAATAAGCAAGGCAGGAATATAGTTCATTAAAAAACAGGACTCAGATGCCTAAACAAATGAGATTATGTAAAAGACTTGCACAATAAACTAAAAGCGTATGCTAAGAATCGGGGTCAATGAAAGATAACAAACAGCAGTGTTAGCATTTTGTATTAAGGGAATTGGTCTTAGAAAATTGTAGTTTGAAGCAGTTTAGGTCACACTGAGAAGAAGTATGCTGAAAGGTTAAGGGTAGTAAGGGGCAGAAAGAAAGAATGAACAATTTTTGAAGGAGAGTCTAATTACTCAGTTCAGAGCAACCTTATCCTCTTCTGCAACTGGTACGCTCCCAGCTGAGATTTGGTTCTGCCTGGACATGGTTTTGTTGACAATTCTAAATTGTCAACACTTCTTTCTCTTAGAAAGCCTCCCCCCCTCACCTGAAGGAGGGCACCGCTGTCTTCACTCAGTTTGTCATCGTGCTTGAATTCCACTGTGATTGTTTTATCACAGTCCAAACCTGCCATCTCTACATCAGTGGTGTTGCTCATATAGAAAGCTCCAAAGAAGTCAGTTGCTCGAATACCTTAAAAAACAACAAAACCAAACAACATGAACCACAATTCTCAACAGAATAACAAAACAGACATGCTTTGAAGCCCTGAAAAATCCTGTCATTTGTAACACTAAGTTACCTTGAAAGATTTCAGTACGGGCTTTTGCTCAACCTTGACAAAGCATTAGAATTTCAGAGCTTTAGCAGACCTTTTTGTATAGCCTAGTCTCAAGATGTTTTAATTAGGGGAAAAATCTGTACTTCCCTAAGGACATGCTTGAAATGGTCAATTTATTAAGAGCTGTATGTGCTAATACTCACCTGTGCTTGTGCGCACTCTCATTACAGCATCAAATCCCACTTCTTTCTGGACATCTCTTCTCAAGTCATTCAGGAACCTATCCTGGTCAGTCTCCAGCTAGAAAACAAGCAATAATTCAAGTTTCATAGTCCCATAAATTAGAGCTGCTCCATAAACCATAGGGTAATTTAAAACCAGATACTATCCCCTACAGTCTTACTCTAAAAGTTACCTATCATACAGGGCTTAGTGCCCTGCGAATAAAATATTGTGCTAACAGGTAACACAGCATAGTTTTTCTTCCTGTTGTTTTTGTTATTGAGATATTTTGTGTGAAGACATAAAGCTAACTAAATCATTTTGATGAAAATTGCTACTTAAATCTCAAGATTTATTTCCAAAGAAGTACTTGTTCACTACGGTTCACATTATAAAAAAGAATTCTTAACTAAACAATTCTCATTTAGCTCAAATACCAGTCTGAGTCAATGTCGCTCTTACCTGGAAATATGCATACTTATAAATGGAGCCTCCAGTCTGGTAAGTGACTACACCTAGTGTCGCCACATCCAAATACTGGTTTGGAAACAGGAACAGATCCACACAGCAGCCCTGGGTCACACAGTCTTTGGCCAAGTTGTTGTAAAAGCTTGTCTGCGGCTGAAACAAGGTCTAAGAAAAGAAGTCAGAGACGAGATCAGAAATTTGTGTTAAGAAAAGGGAAGTGAGAGCCATTTAATAATTCCAGTCAGTACACCTTTATGCTTTAAATCTCTCTTCAGGGAAATTAGGATCATATAAATTCTTCTTGACCCTGCCTTTGAAGAACTGTTGAATTTCATGAAAATTACTATACATCTTATTTTGACTGTAAGTTCAGCAGATTTACTTTAACCCAGCTACGGGTATTTTATCCCATATAAAATATGTTAAGAGATATTAGCTGTAATGCTTACCTTACGTGCTACCCTTGAAATTTATTAATGTTGCTTCAGAGCTATTTTATCTCATAAAGAGTATAATATAGAACTCTTACGTAGGCACCATCCAAGTCATTATTACCTTCTCCTTATCTGTGTTGATCAGTTTCTTATCATCCCTGTTCTTTAACTTTCCTGGGGCCTCTGCAATGGGCAGAGAAGTGTGGAAAATGAAGAGCTTTCCAGCACACTCAGCTGCCTGCAGGAAAATGAGCATAAAAGTGCAGGTTAGAAACATTTATAAAGACTGTAAGGGAAACTGTGATTCAAGAACAAGCATTCTAGCATCCTGATCTTTTCTTTATGTCAGGAAGGCTCTATCAGACACACAGACACAGTGATCGCTTGGTTACTTCAGTGGTATCCAACAAGGGGGGAACACCCTACTGGTCAGTTACAGAACAGCAAGTTTCAGTTTATTTGACCTGTGCTAGTTCCATGGCAGGAAGAAAAGGACTGGCTCCAAGCAGAAACAGAGCAGTGAGCAGGACTCAGTTACAAAAGGTTTTGTGAAACATGTCACACTGCTTTCTTTTCGGATTTGCAGCTACTGTTTGCAGAAAAGTCACAAAAATCGCAAAGGATTTTGTAATCTGAGCTGCAACAGATTATTAATTTTAAATCAATAACCTGTATCAACACTAGTCCATGTTTAATACGGCATTTTCTCTGACACAGAGTACATAAACAATAATCTATAATATTTCTTGACTGAACAACTGTCATGCAAACAGAGTTTAAGAGAGACTTCTGAGGACTTACACGACAGACAACTAGAGCTATATGAACAGGGTTGGATGGAATCATACAGGAAATCCATTCAATCAACATATGCAAGTCACAGTTAAATCAGGCATGTAACTATCTGGATGAAGTACTGGGATGGAAGAAGTTTAGGAAAGGTTTTCCTGGTTAGCAGATTGTTGTGGGCAACTTCAACACATTGCATTCTATTCTTTTATTGAAGATTATACCAAAGCTTCAAGCACAGGATTAGAAAGACACCATGTTACAGAACTCCTTAATGAGACATGACAGACTTTGGCACTTGGTTTTAATAATGGAGGGTCAAGGTATATTTGGTAGATTCTGCAAACTATTCAAAGCAAATCCCAGCCATGTAAGCCACATTTTTAAAAATGAAAAACGAATGAGTAAAGGACAGATAGCTGCATAGGATCAGAGCTACATGCACTTGAAGAATGAGCCAATTACTCCCTACATGTAGCACATCTACCAGAAGAAGATTTACAAAAAACTTCAGAATCGTCTTATTAGTATGTGTTAGCGGAGTATGAACTTCAGGGTACTTGAACGGAAAACAATTTGCTATGACAATGCATTTACTAACCTTCAGTGCCTCCAGCCCTGCTTGAATCACCGGTGCAAAAACAGTTTCTGTTTCTCTTGTGTCTGCAAACATTTCTGGAATCTGATCCAGCAAACTAGCAAAGAAGAAAAAGGAGGAATTCAAGACTCCATTTAATTGGAAAAGCCAGACAGTTGCAGCTGATCACCCACAAGACCGATGGTTTAAACAGAAGTGCCTAACATGTTTCTAAATATGCATAATTTTTATGTTATTTGGCATTTCATCATTTATCTGGGAGAAAATGATGCTTTGCCATTCTTCTTTGGCTTCTCACATCCATATCTTCAAGTGCCTGTATAACCTCAACTGATGCCTACTTCAGAAGCTCTTCTGTATTCCTGCCCTTTTAATATATTCCAATATATATTGGTAAGTGAATTCTAGGAAAGACTAGTGACACTTGGCCTCTGTTTGCCAAGCATCCTGTGTGCTATTCAAAGATTCATAGGTTTAATCCACAGTTTTGTACTTAGCTTGTTAACGCATTACAAAACAGGCTAGAATTTTCTTTTAAAGACATGCAGCATGAGGTCTAGTTCCCAAAACACAGTTAGCGACACACCATAGTTTAATTACAGTTCAAGTATTACGTTAAAGAGTTTGCCAAAACTTTGCTAATTTATCTCTCCTTCTACATTTTATCTTATGGATCTCACTCATTCAATCTTCTCCACAGAACCAAAATAGGACACCACTGTTGTCTCAGTTGATGGTTATTTAGGCAGTTGCCTTAAAGACAGTGATTCAGTACTCTTTTGACTTTCATTCTGCACCATCCTAGTTGTGTTTTTGTTTTGTTCCCAGAAATGCATTTCTGCACTAAATCCCCTTACATATATATACGCACCTTCTGCCAATCTGGACTGCAAGACAAATACACCCTTACCTCATGAATTTTCCTATTTCACTTTGCTAGCTTAATCTCAAAGAGTATAAGAAGTTAACATGCATGGAGTGACATCTAGATGAATAACATGACAAGTAAGCATGCAACAGCTGAATCTACCAAACAAGATGCTTACTACACACATTTTAAATCAATTCCATTACCTGGCAATAACTGTCCTGGACTCGTTCACGTTCACCAGAAAACCATCAAGGAGAGGCACAAACATATCTGCCACATCTGAGACAACCATCATTTGTGGCTGTGCAAGGGAGCTTTTCACATTGTAGAAGTGTAACACTTTGTTGTAGGTGACAAAGCCTACTCGAATGGCTGACTCTTCCATGTTGCCTTCCCTGTAAGAGACATACTTGCCTTCACATCTAAGTCAACAGTGAAATCATTACACAGAACCCAACACAAGAAGGGATAAGGGAAAAATGAAAGGAAGGAAAACTTAATTTTCACCTAGAACAGTATCGAAAAAGATGTTCTGCTTGGCCTTTTTCTGAAAAAGAGCTTGATAGGATTATAAAATTTGTATTCCTAGCTATTTTAAAAGGGAGAAAGTGAGTTTCTCCCATTTTGACTGGCTACAGTAGTACACAATAAACCTACCTGGGCAGGTAATCTAGAAGTGACTTTAATTCTTCACATATTAGTCTCACTAAGCCACTCTTTACAGCATTGTAAGACACATCAATCATGAAAATGAAAGCAGGGGGACTGGGAAACTTGTTATTCTGGAAAGAGAAGGAAGAAGACACGTTATGACCATGTAATTCAGCCCATGTAACAGCTCTGTAATATGGACAAATGAATGCTGGTCAAAATTAATAGCTTTTATGTACTTTTCTACTCAGGATTAGCTGTTCCTTCAGGTAATTCTCTCATTCCTGCCCAACTAACAGACATGTAAGCACACTATATTTGAAATGGACTAGTATAACATGCCCTAGACTGATTTTGTCATTGCTCAGTGAAGAACTGTGTGTACATATATATATCTAATTATAATTAATGTAATTATAACTAAATCATCCATTTATATGACTAGGCCAGATACGGAAAGTAAACAGGGAAGTTTCCTGCCAGTTCTCAAGACTTTGGAGTCTGACCAGACTTGTAATAGGTGATTTCATTAATACAAACCAAAACATTTTCCTCTTGGAGGACTGCAACCTTTCCCTTCTACTTAAGTATCAGGTTTGCTTTGGCAAAGAGAAGCTTGTTTTAGTCAACAGCTTTCTGAAATCTATAGGTCATGTGGAAGGCACACATAGAACAAAAGATAAACAGAACTTTCAGAAAAGCTGGGATGATTTCATCTTGTTTGAACTAAAAATGCCTCCTATGCTGTTAGAAGCAAGACTTATTTTTTCCCATAACTAGAAGTAAATGTGAGGCATTAGAACAAAGTTGCAACATTTAGACATCTATTTTCCCATCATTTATTTCAGCAGAGATGTAAGTTGCTTTAGTAAACACCTTGCACGCTTTTTTCTATTCCTTAGAAGTGAACCAGCTCTGATAATATAACCTTTCCACACCATGCTTGTGTTTTTAACCACTATGGCTGTATTTGAAATTTAAGTTCAATATGTAAAGCCTGCCTTATGCAACAGGTAGTACACTGCATAGTTACTCTGCGCTTCTCTTGAAGTCCTCTGACAATCTTCTGTCCCAAGGACTACCACAAGAAAGTCACTCCTGCAGAACTGCTAAAGTAACAGCAACTATAGCTGCTCATATAGCTCCAAAAGAGAATGAGAGTGGCAGCTACCATAAAGTTATGTGTGATCAACACTTCCTTTACTTTGGAAAGTAAGCAGATGAGCACATTATTTTACACAATGAAGTGGGCTGAAGTAATGCTGTTAATCATCTCTGCCAGCTAGAAAGCAGCCCTGGACAATTCATGCCATTCTGACTTTTAGTCTTTTTATTTAGAATCAAACCAAAATACAGTAACAAACACATACTACTCTACCTTGCAATAGTCAACTGTTGCTAGAAACTCATAAGACCCCAGTGATAACTCAGGTCGGTCATAGAAGTCTACTCGCTTTCCAGTATGATCCAAATGCTGGAAGTAGTGAGGTGGCACTGGGAAAGGAAAAATGAAATCATTAAGTCCAGTGACATGCCTATGATAAACACTGACTAGAAAGCTAACACGACAACGGCTGTTACAAATAAAACTCCAGGAAACCTAGCTTGCACTCTCTGCTAGCATTCAAGTATTACTAAAAACATTAATGCAATTTAAGAGCATCACTAAAACCAAGAAATACAAACTGCTTCCAGTTTGTCTTATACAACAGGTGACACACTGTATAGTCACTACTGTACTTTTCTTGAATCTCCTCTCACTTTATGTTTCATATCAGAGATGTCACCACAACACGCTCTTCGGATTCTTCTGAAATATCTAGTCCAAACAAAAAATATAACAATCTTCTACAAGTAGTAACAAATGACTTACAATAATGTTTGAGGCAAACTACAGGCTACATTATTGACTCAATTCAGGCTTCTTATTTTGCTGCAAGTTAGTTTTTTCCTTGCCTTCCCATGCTGCACAAGAGTTAAGCCTTCTAGGCATTCTCTCATGCAGAGACTGCCATAATCCTTTTGTCAGAATAAGCAGGGTACTTCTTACAGTGGACTGTAAAGCACCAGTGAGGGAGAACTGGAAGTGTAACCACATCCCCAACACGCAATACTTTCATGCTAGTACGAGGCATCAGAAAGTAAAATAGAAATTATGCTAAGTTCTTGCCTACAGACGTCAGCAGCAGAAACAAAAAAAGCATTTCCCCTGTGACCCAAGAACTGCCATGACAGAGTTCCTCCTGCAGAATTGCTAGGGTGACAAAATATATTCCAGCTATAGCTGCCTATATAGCTCTATGGAAGAATAAAATGAGATTATCTGTAATGATAGTACTCACCACCTTTATAGTATTCTAAAAATTCAAAGTTTCGACAGTTCAAAAAGAAAAGTTCAAAGAAAACAAGTGATATTACGACTATACATAAGCAGTTATCACTCTTCTCTCTAACTCAATAGCTAGTTACTTGATTGTTCTTTGCAAAGAAACCAGAAATAGGTCTCACACATTATGTACAACTACATTGTATTTTCACGGCACTGTTTTCATCAGCAGTCTCTGAGCATCTCTCCCTCTTCTGCCCATGCTCAGTTGTTACGAGTACAGCCATTCATACAGCTGCTGAGTGAGCAGAGACAGGGAATGCATTCAGGCTGAAAATCACCAGACAAACGTTTTTTAAAGTTGGCCATTTCTAATCCCTGCCAGCTTCCCATTTGGTTTGTACAAACAGTTGTACAGCATAACTGAGGTGATACGAACAAACAGTCCGTTAAAAGCCACCAGTGCTACCAAATGAGACACTCAAAAACATCACCATAAGGTTTGCTGTACCTTACATTTCACTGTGCCTTCAGAACAAATCTACGGATGTCATGCTATGAGCAGCACACAGTGACTTATGCTTAAAAGGATGCATGTTTTATATTCATTTAGAAGAGCAAGTAAGATTAACTGACATATTGAACACACCTACTCAGCTGTAGCAGATTTAGCTGCAATCTCGCCTCTGAGCAGTGTTTAAACAGGCTTTGTGAGAGAAGAAAAATAATCCTAACTCACACTACTGACTAGATGTACATCTCTTATACAAAAATGCAAGTTTCAAACACCCTTCAAATACCCCTTTGAAGAAAACAGCATAACTAATTTTTCAAAACACCATACATTATTCTAAAAGTAACTTCTGTTATGAGTTTGGTACAATACTGCAATGCATAAGCACTTACTTGTTTAGAACATAATTTCAGAACTGAGCACTGAACATATTTTATAACGAATTTTTACAAGACTAAACACATATTAAAGCACAGTATACATTATAAATTATCTTAAGATGATAAAGATTTATTTGCTTGCATCTTGTTCAAAGATCACGCCAACGGAGTGTAGAAACCAATTTCCAGAAGAAACCTTACCCTCAGTGACACAGCTGCAGAAACAACACTGGAACCTCCTTCCACCCTCAATGAATTGCATAAAAGGGCACATGTAAGCCTTGCACCTATTACAGCGGACAGGACCAGATTCTCCATGGTCTACCAAATAAGGAAGGGTCTGTGGAATCAGGGGAAAAAAGAAAAAAAAAAGGGAAGGTCACATGATGATGAGAAAGAAGAGACCACACATACTGCAGAGCTTAAAACTACCTTCCTGCACATTGCATAAGATCTAGCATTTTGGCAGCTGTGGGACAGAGCATAGGGGGTGGGGAAGCCCGAGCAACTACTCTGTAAATGCTTTTCAACTCAAGCTCCAGCACAGCAGTTCTTTGTGGGTTGCAGTCATTAATGGGCTACCCCACTCAGATACAAACAAGTACTTCCACATGGTGCTGCACTACTTTGCACAGTGGCCTGCTTGAGGAGCATTAGCTCTTGCACGAATACCACTCCACACAGATGTATCCCAAGTGTACACAAAAGATGGAAGCCATGCAAAGAATGGCTGTGACAACCTCATGGGAGTGAGCACACAATTTACATTTTACCACAGGTTGGGTGTTTTAAAATAAACTTCACCTCTTTGTATTTTCTCCTTGTAAAAAAGCAAGCTTTTTGACAAAACAGAAGCCAGTCATTGCATTCCAGATACTCCAGAACTTAGAGCATCCGGACCATCTCAGAAATAATTTCAGCTGATAAGACTTATTTTTGAAGCACATCTCAGAACTGTTACACAGCAATACCATTTTTGAACTATTACTGACAATATATTGGTTTTGCAGCCAAAGATGAATAAGATGCTTAGCAACTTCTGTGTCTTCTCAACCTCAGAACAAACAGGTAGCACTTTAAAATGATAAAGACAGAACTCACACAAGCTACAACCTGGATTCACAGTTAAAAGCACCTTTCATACCTAAATATGTAGCTCAAAAGACAGTAACTAATTACTACCAAAATTTCTGCACTAAAGGCGTCCAGTCTGAATTCTCTCTGTCACCCTAAGTCTCTGATCATGTTTAAGAGACAACATACTCATTGGGCAGGAGTTGAACAAATGCCCTCGCCACTTTCTTCCTCTTCATGCCACAGATGTGTCACAGCTCTCACTCAACCCCACTAATCAATTATTGACAATACACTGGTTTTGCAGCCAGTGTTTCTCAGCACCTATCGCCCAGGCTGACCTCCTCACAGGAAACAAAATTTGAAGTTTTCTAACTGCCAGGCAATGTTGGTATTGTACTTTGACACAATAAGCTTTTTTCCTCAGCCTCTCCCCAATTACATGCATGTAATCACTACGGGGGTGCTGAAAACATGCAGTGATACACATAACTTCTCACTACCTACCTACTTCCAGAGGGCACAGAGATACTTCTTTTTGAAGCCTCAAGCTTTGCTTTCATAACTGTGCATTAACATTGGACAAAAGTCCTGTATCTGGCAACCAAGCGCTGAATTTTTATATGCTCTAGATTTACCTGAATGCTGTCTTTTCATGAGACATTTATCCACTTGTCACTGATATGTTAAGTTCCAGCTCTCTTTACAGTCTTACTGTTCTGAACAGCTGAGCCTTCATCTGTTAGAAGGGCCCTTCCACAGGGAGCCTGACCTTGCCATAAAGAACTTCCCACTTCCAGAAGCAGACTGGTCTCCAGGGAAATTTTCCAATCCTCGATCCTAGCCTTGTTTTTTCTGGCTATCACAAATGTTTGTTCAAACCATAAACACACCAGGAGACCTAACAACTAGTTGTTTGTAAAGCTTCTCTAAAAATGTGCACCTCCATAAGCCTCTGTGTTTTCAAATAAGACCACATTCTCCTTGTGTCTCCTTGTAAACTCCAGCCACAATACAGCAATACAAGAATTTACTTCATAACTCAGTTTTATCACAAACCAGTTTTCAAAATCCAAGCCATAGTTTAGTTGCATTAAGAAAACGCAACAGGCAAAAAAAAAAAAAAAAAAATCTTAAAAGCCCAGAGAATATTCCTTTGCTTAGCAGATGCTAAACTTTACAGGACAGAGAACGCTGCAAGCATATGTACTCAAATTTAACAAGCATATGTGTCACTGCTACAAGCAGGCTAACAGTACACAGTAGCTAGAATATTTAAAATACTTAACAAAAGTTCTAGCTCTAATATTCTTGAAGCTGTCATGTTCTCAACAGCTAGGGTAAAAGGCTAGATAACCACACACTACACCTAGAAGGAAATAAGTGCTGAACAGAGGAAGAGCAGAAATACAAGTGAAGCTCAGCAGTGCCCAGTACTCAGTCCTGTACTGTCATCCCACACAGTGCTGTGCCTGTACACATACATTAGACAGCTTAACCAGTGCTGCTTGATACATTCTCATTCAATTACACAAAGTCCTAGAAGAGACTTAACATCAGTGATTAGTAACCATTCAAATACTTAAGGTCAAGAAAGAAATTGAGATTAACCGGGAGTGTACGCATTTGTAACCATCCTAGTGCTCTGGTTATGTGGTCACAGTGCTCAACAGTTACTGCAAAAAAAACCCTGCGGAATTATCATGGGTAATTTCTAATGATAGAAATCCTAAACAGTTTGAACATGTCATTTGTCTGCCTTACAGATCTCTACCACACACTTGCAGAAGAATCAGTGTTTATCTAGTCTTCCATCACCTAAACATTCCTTCTCAACATATCTGTTAAAGTTGGCATCCAATAGCATTCTCCTGATGAGTTCAAAGTGCATACAGTGCCTATGAAACTCTGCATATGGTTCTGACCTCCTCTGGGCGTAGAGTAGCCAGCGGTTTTATGACAGCAGCTAGAGGAACTTGGGACTGTTTGGCCATATCTGAGGTGCAGGGAATATTGTAAGATGTGCATCTTATGTAGCGGGGGCTTGCATTACCTGAGGAACAAAGGAAAAAAACACCGTAATTTTCAGTACAAGTCAAGTTTATATTCAAGAACAGAAACAGAGACAGTCTTTGTGGCTAAAACACAACTGAGGGTAAGATCTTATCGAAGCAATCCATTTTAATCTATGCAAGACTTGAATTTCAAACAAAATGCTCCTTTATGATTAGCTACATATAGTAACTCAAACCTTATAATAACTCGGACCTTAACTCAAAACAAATGAACTTGGCTTTACATCAAGTTGAACCTTTAAAAGGCATTCATGTCATTTTTTGCAGACTAAACCATACTATAGGCAGAAAACTGAATTACATTTCTACTGCTCAATTTTGTAATTTTGGCTCAAGAGTAAAGCATTTGATTGTAGAATTGGATTCTGAAGTTTTGAAGGAGCTTTAAATAAAAAAAGATAAAAAATAGGCAATTAAAAAATGAAATATCCTTTCTCTATGAAGCCCATGGACCAATTGACATCTCACTCAATTTAAAAACAAATGTAGTTCCCAATCCAATTCAAACAATATTGCTAGTAAATTTCAGTTCTTAACTGTTGTTGATATAGCTCTACAGAAGAAGCTTGATTCGTTACTTTCTGATACCCCTGGTAGCGCTGGTCCCATATATCTGCTTTGGAAAACATTTTTTACTTGGAAATCAGTTACTAGCTACCAAACAATCAGAAGATTCTAAATTGAGAACAAATCAACACAAGACTTGAAATCACGCTTCTGCTGACAAAAACCACATCCCCAGCCACTGAAATCATTCCTCAAACTTTTCCTTTAAAGACATATTCAGTTCTGCCACTGATTCTTTGGTGTTTGTGTTTTGTTTGTTTAGGATAAGAAAAATATTTTACCTTGATCCTTGACCAAGAAATCCGTAGTAACAAGAGGTGGGACCTGCCCTCTCACTCCAGTGACAAATGGTTCTGACCCACAGTTATTTCTGTCATCTTCAATCACTTGAATCTATGATGGAATACACAACATTAATATTTGGAGGCTTGGTTTCAATGCATGGTAGAATATAAAATTTATATCTGTAAGGCATTAAAAGGGGACCTGAGACAAACATTACTACCTCTAAATACAAGAAGTCTAAAGCAAATAAGTTTTGTCAAGCAGTCACCTCTCAGTTTGATTTCAACTAGCACTGAATGGCTAACAATAAATTGTAAATAATTGTAAATAGTAAGTTGTAAGTAGTGTTTTCCTCCAAGAATTTTGAGTAGTAGCACATTTTGTGTTTTAAGGCCTTCTCCGAACTCACAAAAACCAAACACAGATCAAGAGAAGAATTTCTGGTAGTATTCCCCCCGATACAGTCCTAGTCAAATTAAAATTAGAAGCTTCTGTAAGCCTGAAGTTCTATAATCTGCCTTTTCCTTTCTGTATGTTCCCACTGTTTTCATAGCATGATTTCTTAGAATTCTTAGAAATCCTAGAAATCTTATGCTACTGTAACTCCAACCTAAAGATAGGTGCTTGCAAGCTCAGGTGGAAGTCCTCATTACTTCCTGGTGCAAATATGCTTAAGATAATGGAAACACATTAGACAGTTTTAGTTGACTGAAGTATCTACTGACCTTTGTGAAAGAACAGAAAACTGTAGTTATACACAGTTTTAACCACATTTCCATACTGGTGCTTGAATGAAAGCATTAAAGCTATCAATCATTCTTCTGATCTTATTTTGCCTTTTCAAACACACGTCTTTCCTTAAACTGTGAAATGCAGAAGTTTGCATGGCAGACCTTCTACCCTCTCACTAAGGGTTCCAAGTTGTCAGCAGAAAGTCTCCCATAGCATCAGACAGTGACTACTCTAGGACAAATCTAGTCCCATTTCAGAAGTCTACAGATTGACACTGGTGATCTCAATGCTTGTACCTGTTATAAAACCAAATTGGACTAAATGAGGAAGAAGTGATACAAGGGTAACAAAGTCAAAGTCAAATGTGGTTTGGGTTTTTTTCCCACCTTCCAATCCAAAAGGTAGCTGCTTTGTTCTTTCTTTACGTAAGATACTCTACACATAAGCACTAAATTTTCAATTTCAAAATGTAATGGTTATGTATGAGCACAGATAATGACAGAATGTTTATAGCTCCCCATGCCGTATATTAATCTACTAGAAGATTTGTATCAAGAATTAACATCAAAACAGTTTAGCTGCAATTTTCAAACTTCAAGGCATTAGCCCAGTACTGGTATATCAGCATGACATCAAATTCTGCTCAAAACTCAGAAAACATTGCTACGAAGGCTCATGCTGTGTGTATGTTGAGGCGCACACTGTATAGACAATTATACTGATGGCTTACACTGAAATGCCAGTTGGAATCTGATGAAGGAGATATTCTAAAGATCAGACAAAGAGGAGGGGAGGCATTCTTCATGATCTGTTTCTGAAACATTCTGCTTTCTATTGCCTCACCATTCATCAGAGAAAAGAAGATTTTAACAACCTTTTGTGGTGTAATGTTACTCATTTTGATAAGGCAAGCAGAAGACAGCAAGGAAAGGGTAAAGGATTAATGATGCAGGGTTAGTGAGGTGCAGTTCAGGTTTCACGCATGCACAGATGCTCACCAACATACAAACTACAATTACATACATATACAGCACTTACTGGACTAGGAATTGCATCTGGGTCTATTCTGTGCCTGGGTTTCTGCTGGGGTGGCAGCTCATTAAGTTGCTTATTTTTTAAATAAAAAAAATGAAGAGTGCCACAAAGAAAAAAACAACAAACAAAAGACAAAGAGAAAAAAGAAGAGAATAATAAACCAAAAAGTAACAGTGTTACTTCTTTCTACCCAAACCTGTAGCACTAGAAGTAGATACGCTTGGTTCATGCAACAGGGAACATCAGCTTCTGCAGCACAGACCGATTCCAAAACCAGCCTTGCCAATGCTTGAGCTCTGAACACGCTGCTAACAGAGGTAGTGGCTCATATGCTTATTTTGGTTAGAAATTGGGGACTTATGCTTTAAGTACATGCTAAAATGAAGGCAACTGACACAAGCCATTTGAGATCTCATTTGGTGGAAGAGAAGAGAAGCAGACAACCAATTAAAGACTTCTTATATTCTGTGAGAAAAATATGGTCATAAACTTTACATAAACTTGGAGTCTAAACAGATAATCTTTTTTGAATACAAATTCAAAAAAGCACCAGTCCAGATCTAAGACGTAACTCAAGACTAAATAATTATTATAGCTTCGAAGCAAACACTGTAAGCACTGCCCTGGAAAAGTTTCCTGTTACCAAATGACTGTGGCTTTCTGAGCCAATAACAGAACAGCATCGGCAGCAGCAGAAGAAATGGCACAGTAGACCAGTAGAAATAATACTGTCAGGCTTAATATTACTCATCATTGCTAACCACTACGTATCACTGCTTGTCCTTTCTTGAACCTCTGTTCTGAAAGATAATCCCACTTTGAGAAGTTGTCCATATTTGACTCAAGTTGTGTCATGACTTAATGACCAAATAATCCGATAACCTGTTTTTTGACAAGTTATGGGAAAAGGGAAAGGAAAAATGCTAGTCATCTCCTATTAACTGTACTTTAAAGGTGAACCATAGATTGTCACCTCAAAACCTGAAATTGGTTCACCATGGTAAGTCATTAAGCAAGAATCCAGAAATGGAGAAACAAGCTTAATCGAAGCCCTCAAGGATTCTCAAAATGTAACATAGTACAGAAAAAGACCTGAGGAAGTAGAGCATCCATTTGCATATGCAGCGCCTTTGTTTAGACAGCAAGAAAAAAATATCGCTTCTTGGATCATTCATAACAAAAGACTGAAGCCAGATATACCAAAAAAAAAAAAAAAAAAAAAAAGCAGGAGAACAGACTGATGTTCGTTGGAATGAGAAACTTGTTTTCAGCTTTGGTCTTTATCAGTTCCGTTTTATGTAAAAACACTATGGAAGAGTTCACACTGGTAAAAACAAAGTAAGCTTACAGGGCTAGGAATGGAATCTGGATCCAAGCGTTTGGGTGGAGGTGGTGGTCCAGGTTGCCTTCCATAATTTGGTGCTCCTGGATAGGCTGCTCCATAGTTTGGTTGAGGACCCCTCACCTGCCCAAAGGAACCTTTACAAGAAAGGAACAGCAAAATCAAACAGTGGCTAATACTAGTAATTTCATTATTTGGCACTTCCCACTTTTCCTTTGGCACTTCCATTGTCAAAAAACCAAGCAAGTCACATGTTTTTCAGTTAATTAGGATTAAACGTACTTATCAGTGTTTTGGGTTAGACCTGTACATCTCTATCAGTGATGCAGTAAACTGATGGAGACAGTCCTCCTTAAAACCACACTTAAGGAAACACAAGGTTTTAGACTAACATAACTATTTTTAGAATAATATGATTATAATATGCATTAAGATCATGCACTATGAACATTTAAGTTAAATTGCAGAACTGCCTACTAGAAAGTACACACAGAACTGCCAAATAAGCTAGCAGATGACCCGTAATTCCTCAAAATGCAAGGAGTTTTCTCAGGCAGTTTTGGCTTGCCTGAAATTAGAGTAGTAAGTTAATGTGTGATTATCTATTTCATTTTGTAACTACCTGAAGTTATTTCATATAACTTTAGACAATTTCTTGCAGTTATGGAATACACCACGATATAATGCAATAGTGTTTCTACAGTTAATTGCAATTTGCACAGATATTTGTAAGTAATCTACCTGGCCAGTTGTGCAAAACTGCATGGGGAATGGGATTCTCAATCCTCACACTTGCACGATTACTTTATCCTAGCTATCTGTAAATGTTATTGATTAAAAATCAGCCAAAACCATTTATAATTCAGAAAGCTTAGCTGACACTACTTACAAGTACACACAAAATGTGAAAGGTTCTACATATTAAATGTCATAATAACATTCTGATCACAAACTCTTGTGGTATTACGGCACTCACTACTAAATGACTTTTTAGCCAAGTACACTAGGATTTCTTCAGTTATATTAAACTGCTTGAAAACTGTATGACAAGTATCTTAAAATGACACATCCTGTTGTTTATCTTGGATTTGTCTTTTAGACAAGAGCACAGGGAAACACTGAAGTATCACCAAAAGCCCACAAGTAACAAAACGGAAATCCAATTCTCAGTTTGCCGTAAACAGAGAGCACGTATAGTGTACAATTTCTAGAGTCGGAATACTCACCGTTCTGCTGCATTTGGTATCCTGGCTGAGGAGGATGAGTTGGAGGAGGGGGTCCATGGAGGCTACTCATGGGAGGCCCAGGCTGTGGCCCTGACATCGATGTTGGAGGTGGCGGTGAGAATACATGATTAGGCTGGGACGCTGGTGGTACAGGAGCTGTCTGCCCAGGCAGTGGTGGGCCTGGCATGGTAGGCGGCCTTGGGGCACCTGTGGTAGAAAGGTAAGAGGAAGGTCCGAACACTGCAGAACAGGGAGGAAACTATTTAGAATAGCAGACGTCAACACCCAGAGAATTCTGATAACCATAGGGTAATGAATCATTGACAAGAGCAAATCTTTTATGAAATTACCAGCATAACTGAAAAGCAGTAACATATTTCTGTAGCCAGGAAACCTCACCATATCCTAGTCCGGCTGGGGGAGCAGCAGAGGCTGCAACAGTGCCAATTGTCATCCCTGCCATGTGATTGCTGAGCTGCTGTACACTGGCTGGGGGGGGACCATATTGCTGGAACGCAGGCGTCTGGGTGACAGGCATGGATGCTGAGCCTGGCAGATACGGCTGAGAAGCAGGTGGCCTGAGAAGGAAGATGAGAAACGCCACTGGATACCCCATTATACAAGCAGTTACAGCTCTCTGTGCTTTATAAACACTAGCTGGGTCTCAGTTATTTACATGAAGCACTGTAGCTCAGTTGTGGCAAAATAATTACACACACTGCATGGACTTCAATCCACTTCATAAAAAAAAAAAAAATTCTATTCTTAAAATACAAATTCCACATTTATAGCATTTTTTATTAATTCCATTTTAGTTACAGCAACAAAACAGAAATACTGCCATGGAGGCTACAGGTGAGCAACAGTAAGGCCTGCACAATTATGTAAGAATGCTGTTGCTTTAAGGATGTCAAGACTGTGCTGACAGTGCTGAGGTTAAGCAGAGGGAAGCAAAAACCAACCACCTTACCCAAAACCAGTAATCAGAATGAAGCAGTGAGGACTGCTGCCACTTTCACCACAAAGGTAATGCCAACATCTTTCTGGAGAAGGTGCCCAAGAGCTTTACATGAAGATAGCTCAGGGAACCGTAATGGACAGGAAATGACCCAGAACCAATGCTAAGGAATTTCTCAGTAATAACAAATAGCAACATGCTCTGGAGAGAGATCAATTCACACTACCAAAGAATCAAATACTATGGCAGTGTGAATGCAATTGTTTTAAAAGAAAACAGACTATGAGAATCACAAAATTCTTTATGGGGAAATGACTACCACAAAGAAAGTCTTTGGAGAAGTGGTTTTGATCAGTCACTGACATCTGCTCATTTCCTTCCAGAAGTTTTTAATCTGCAGATATTCTTATTGTCTATGACAAAACATTGTTCTTAAAACAGTAAGTCAGCAATAAAGAAAGTCAACATCTACCACAGTAAAAACAATATATGCAGTTTGGTTTAGATCCTAAAAGGTCTAGATCTAGCACAGGTCTACCAAGGCACGCCTTTGTTATGACTTCTTCTTGTATGTACCTCTGCATCGGGGCTGCTGAGGTTGGAATCCCATTCTGCACATCTCCCTGTCCAAATGGACTGTATGTCAGGTGATCAGAAGGAAGAGATGCTCCAGATGTTGAAGGGGCTCTTAATGAGCCTACAGACATAAGGGGGAAAAAAAAAAATTTAAAAAAAATAAAAATCACAACACAGAAGCAAGGTCTTGAACCATGAAAAATCCCAGAAATAAAAAGAAGCGTAGAAACAGTTTAGCAGTGGCCAAACTGCGGTATCAAAACTCCATGAGCAACAAATAATTTATACAACTATACTAGAAGTAGCAAAACTAAAGCACAATTTTTTAGCCAGTGTCACTAGTCACCATCTTTACACAAACCAAGCAAAATATGTGTATTGTGGAGGGTCTTCAATCGACAATTTCATCTTCTGATGAAGAAAAGAAAAAGTTATCTTGGAGGGGGAAGAATTTAATACCTCACGGACAAGTCCAATTATTTTTCTCCAGACCAAGGAGAGTATTCACATGGAACCTAATGTTTTTTACAGGTCAGTTTTCCCTTCTTGGAAGGTCAGCAGATTATGTGAGCAGATTCAGAAAATTACATCTAATTGCTCATTAATGGGGGCCACCACTGTTCTTCCCCAGCTCTTGAGGCTAGAGGCTAACATGAATACTTTCTCATCTTTCAGACTGAGCTGGTTTAGTCACAGTTCAAACGTATTTGCCACAAAGCCAAGTCTTCACGCTTTCCACAGGCCACACAATGCTGGATACAATACCAGCAGACCAATCGCAGTGTCTACTTCCAAAAAAGAGATTCTAAACTTCCACGTTCGTATTATTAAGTCAAAAATGCTGATAATTAGAACCATATGATCATTCCTGCTAACCACAAGAGAACATATTTAATGTATGGGGTATCATTAAATACAGATGACTAACAATGTAAACTTCCCCATGAGACCAAGGCAGCACATAACACACTGTTGCGTATCTCTGACTGGCATGACAAGTTTAAAAGGGACTCTGAAACCTTGTTGTGAGGAACCATTATGAAACAGGAAGCCAGAGAGGCCATTTCTCAATTCTGCAGTGTAATTTATACACCAAAGCATGAAGTTTCAATTTATACATTTTAATCTTATCTGTTACGTGTAAATGTAATCTTATCTGTTACATGTAAATTCTTAGTAAGCTTGTGGATGTAAACTCAAGGAATGAATTAAATAGACCTTGTATGAATAACCAGTGATTTCTTTGGGCTTTTTTATTACAAAACCTTCTCCTGTTCTTTTTGAGACATAGGATTTAATTTTTTTCAGAGATACTTATTATCCTTATGTACCTTCATCACATTAAACCTTGTATTTTCTAAACTACTGTTACAGCACCTTTGTCTTACCATTTCTCTGGCTATGCATTTCCTGATCTCTTAACTATTTGTACGTTGTGTGGTATTTCTATTTCCGAATGTCTCTTGTGATACCCCTTCAGTTAATTTGGTACACTTTCACCTATTTTGGAATCTTTTTCCTTTCATAGTACATGTAAACTGCTTGGCATTGTTACCTTTTGTCTCTGAAAGCATATTTAATTTAATTCATGGTGGGATCCTACACACTTTTTTACATTAACTCCCCCCCCCCAACTTTAACAGATATACAATTTGACAAATACATGCTTACTTCAGAAAAAAATCCTGAAAGTCTTTTTCTAGCTCTTGTCACAAACATAATTTGGTAACTATTACCACAGACTGCACAAATAGCCACTGAAAAAAAAATCACTTGAACAGCTATGAGTATCTGGTGGTTTATTAGCTTACGATTCATGACTCTTGAGGAATTCCAAAGTTCTCCTTCAACACCTTTGAGATACTGCACTGTTCTTAATCACTACAGACCTCAAAATGGACGTAGCTTACAGCAAAATTGGGAATGCCTGTGATTTGATTCAGAGCCCCCAGACTATCAGGTTTTGCCCCAGTTCTGACTCCCTACTCATCTAAGCAAATTGACGCTGTTGGAAATAGCTCTTCTGAAATACCACTAGTTGGAAAAAAAGAAAAGTACAATAATTTCTTGCAGTATTCCTAATTCTTACATTTTGATTGCTAGCTTTGCCAAAGTATTCCTTTCTTCAAGCCACAGCTTTTGAAAATCATAATTATTCCTAACATATACTTGGTTTCTATGCTACAGCCAAAGAGACTAAAGACATCTTTTTTCCCCTTAAATGAAAGCACAAGTTACAAAAAATCTCATGACCTCAAGTAACAACCTCCTGGTGCTGAGGAAGAATTTTCATTTCTTCATTGCATGTTATCATTTCTAACCTCATGTTTAGTCCTCTCTCAAGTGGGAGGCTGCATTCTTTTAAACCAAGGATTCCCCCTGACAGAACCTAAACAGGCCAATTCAGGTTTTGAAATCAGTCTTCAGAAAACATTAGTCACAAGTCAGGTTTTATCTATGAATCTGCAGGCATAAGGGATTTCTACTAGGATTATTTCTTCATATCCCATTTATGTCTTTGGAGTGCTGCCTACAAATTGACTAGGAAGTGTCCCACCCACTTCTGACTGAATAATCAGGTATCCACACCTTTGAGATAAATATCCATATTAAATAGGAACTTTGCACAAAAGAAGCAGCACAAGCACAAGCACTCTCATGAAAAGGACACCATTTACCTATGAAATTAGGTGCAAGAGAAGAAGTGTCAGAGTTGAGAGAAACAGGAGAGCCCTTCGAAGGGAACCCCAAGGAAGGAAAGTAACCTGGAAAGACAGAATACACCAGTGAATCAAGCCTGAGAGAAAGCACCAAGAGACAGTGTTTCCAATGCTAAAGACAGTCTGCAGTACAGAAAACATCATATGCATAAAATCCACACCACATTTACCACATTATTCCTTAAGCTATAACTCCCTCTCAGTCTTCTACCAAGCATAACATGTATTACCAACAGAGTTCATGTATTAATACAAGTGTCAACAGTATTGGAAACTGAGTCCATGTAAAACAATCCAGAAGCAGCCTAATTGTGACTGGTATTCAGGTAACTGTGTTTGCACTTTCAACTGAATGATCTCATTAGAAAGAAACCGTTCAAAGGAAGAAGGTGAAAAATTGTCCTGGTTCTTTCAGTATTCTCACAGAAAGAAGCAGCTATTTTCAACTAGCAGCACAGTACTCCACTTCTGGTCCCAAGCAAGACTAGCATCACTGGCACAGCACTCCTGTATTTCCATTGGTGAGAGCTAGAGTTTGTCACATAAATCAGATACAGAGGGCTCCCTGACTGAGGATGGCATCTGCTACCAACACTTATTCCACCGAGTCCTCCAAGCTATTTTGTTGTTGTTTTTAAAATAAATCCCTAAGACAACTACTTAGAGATCACAGATTAACATTGGCAGTTTTCCTTTTACCACTCAGTGTTCCCTAAATTACTGTCACTCTAGTGCCTCCAAAAATAATTCTCTTCTCTCTACAGTATGCAGCTACAACAGGTCTTTCTACAAAGACCTGCAATAAACATAACATGTTGGAGATGGGGGTAGAAAAAATAACTGTCGATATCTTCAGTACCACTGGTATGCTTTCTTTGATAATGCATTGTTTGTCACTCTCTTCTCCTGGGCTATCCTATTCAGCAGCTACTAACAGGTCAACTTCTGGCTGTTCTGCTAGTGCTCCAAATTTTACATTCCTTCTTTCTAAGAATAGGAATCCTGGATTTACAGTAACAGTCCAAAATGCATAATGTGACAACTGAGATTCCCTTAATACAGTCTGCTACGTCTGGGAAGGATGGTCTCAGAAATAAAGACAGAAGAAAAATCTCCACAAACCATGGGTGATGTTAGACTGATGTATCAATAAACTACATGAGATACTGCTTAAGAGTAGAGCAATACATTTTTGTTGGCCAAATGAGACCACCTAGTTGCCCTCAGTGGCACAATACCTTTCAATCATTGTTGGCACAAACAAAATCTGCACTTTTAATCTGCATAAATTCACATACCAAGCTTTCTAGGTATGTTCTTACTGAGCTGTTATAACCACACTTCTGCTGTTCTAAAATTAAAAAAAGCAAACCAGAAATAATTCAGAAGGAAGAAAGTTAATTCCCTTAAAAAGAACTGCTTTTCAGATTTGTAAAGCCTGAAAGTTGTTGAAGTATCTGATAGAAGATGCCCATCAGTTTCTCTTCACCAACATCCTAAACATTCTTCATACTGCTAACAGCCAAAACCTGCTTTCTATAAATAGCTGCACTCTGATGAAACTTTTCCAACAAATCCACAGTAATCTTTGTCCTTCTTGAATCTCCTTCTCTCCCTCACTGAAACACGTCCAATTTTTCCCCATTCCTTCCATGGGATAGGAAACACTAGTAAGTCAGTGCCTACATTGAGCAGCCAAACAGCACTCAATGGCTGAACCCTGCCTCTGTCTTCCCAGCAGGCAGGGTTTCTTTCCTCTGCCCAGTGCTGATTTTCATTACTTTTATAGGAATTTAAATCCTCTGTGAAATTAGTTCACAACTCATAGATTAAAAGTGCTGTTGTAAGAGATTTATTGAGAGGATGGGAGGAAGAGGATTAAGGAAAGAAAAGGAAGATGGAGCAACTGAATGATCCATTTTTTAGCACACCATGCTAATTCTTCTACTTCATTACCATGCTAACTTCAGACAGAAAAACCCAACAGAGTAATTATTCAGCTCCCGACTTTCAGGCTCCCACTTCTGCTAACTGCAAGACAACTATAGGCACTTTGATTGTTCTATCCTTCTCACTGATTTTTAAGATTCAAGAAGTTGAAAACAAAACAAAAAAATCAAGATGTACCTGGAGGGGAGAACAATACAGAGACCATTAGTATGATTAGCATTATTACTCAATTTCCTCTCAATACCAATCTGAAGTCTAAACAAACACTTCGAAGTGAAAGTGTGTATTGTGCTTATTCTGGCAGATTTGAATTCATTCACCTGATTTTGAAAGGCAGAAATACTCCTACTCAGAGCATAGTACTTTCTCCTCTACCTGTCAGATGTTAATGTCACTATGAATCTCCCAAAGCACTTCAAATACTCAGAAACAAAGACTCCAGAAGTTCTTTAATAATTTTAAGTTAGCCCTTATTTTGAAGGCAGGTAAGAAAAGTTAAACTACTTTGTTTGGTGGCTTTTATTTGTTTTTTTTTTGTGGTTGTTTGGGATTTTTATTTATTGTTGTTAATTAGTTTTTAAATAAACAAATCCAACAAGCCATATGACCCTGCAGAACCAGGGAAACTCCAGAACACATTAGCTTAGAATCATACAATCATAGCTTGCCACATGTTCACAAACTTTCTATTGATTTTAAAGGCATTTGTGAAAATAGCTCCAAATACGCTTTCTGCCTAGAGTTGTATGTCTAGATCTTTCATAATGGCATGCAGAACTTCCTTAATAGTAATGTAAGGGAGTCTCAATTATGAATCTGTTACAGTCACTACCTGCTGCCCTTCAACATAACCTCATCAGGAACACTGTCCTAATCGGGTGTTTCAGTATCAAAAAAAAGCAGGCTGTGCTTCTCAACACGTCAATTTTATGAGCTATTAAAAGAAGTGTGAAAGAAGTGGACAAATGACAGAACAGCAACCTCATAATGTGCAGGAAGAACATGAGTTTTAACATCATGTAAGCTATATACAGAAGGAATAATAATTGCTGCCACAAAACAGAGAGTAGTAATTAAGTATACAGAAGAAATCCCGTGCACACAACAATTCAGAAGTTATCAATCATTAAGTTTTGGCTGAGAATTACCTTGTGGAGGGGGTGGCTGTTGATATCCTGGCATCGGACCATTATAAGCTCCATATTGCAATTGAGGAACCCCTGGCAATGGCTGTCCTCCGTAGGCAGGCTGCTGGTATCCCTGATATCCAGGCTGAGGTCGCCCGTAAGGAGGCCCTGTGTGAGCTGGCTGGTTTACACTCATTGTATTCACATCCCCAAACTAATCTCACCTGCAAAAAGTGGGGGAAAGATGGCTTTTAGCAGACATAAAACCAAACTGGCCGACTTCCCTACTGGTTTTACAGGAACAAGAGCTCCCAAGACCCTAGGGAAGGTGAAACATTAATGGTAATATACACTCACACAACATGATTTTCAAGTAAGATAAATGCTTTAGAAGAGGTAGTCAGAAAACAGTATTTTAAGAAACTAGATTTTCTAATCAACTTATTCACTGCTTCATCCTGGCTAGACTTGTGATCATCATCTTAGAAAAAAATACCATAATTTGTCATTCCATAACAGATGATTATCAAGTTTCCTCAGACACCTTACAAGCTACTTCTGCCCCACAGAACATCAGATCAACAAAAAAACAGATTTCATGACACAGATGAGAGATTCCTTAACGTAAGACTTAAATAACACTGAACAAGTTGAGCTTTCATCCCCATGTTAGTCTACTTGATCATATTTCATTGCTCCAAGCAACACACACTTCACCATCCACAAAGGCTGCTACTTGACGTGTTTGATAGCATCTAGAAGAGGATTAATATGGGGGGGGGGGGCCTTATTTTTTCTTTAAACAACAGATGATTTTAAGTCCTTGTTATGTACAAAAATGTCAGAAAATGAAGATATTTCAAAAGCAGTATGTTGAAATAAAAAAGATGTTAAAAGTGGAAAAGATGTCACTAAAACAGTTATAAGAAAGCATAAGAACTGAACCAGAGCAGAGACAGACATTTCTTTGCAAAGTTATGTAAGACATTTTGCTTAACAGGCTCCCAGTTCCTCTGACTAACTGTATAAAGAGATTGACTGACTTTATAGAGAAAAGACAGAAACAGCATTGGGAAACCCAAAACCAAGCAGGCAAGTCTTACAATACCATGGTACCAAGCAAGCAGATAAGCCAGAGAGCCCCTGAATTGTGGAGACCCAAGGAGATGACTTCATGGTCTACCTCTCAAGGATACTTCACATCTCCTGCACTCCTTTGAATGCTCCATATATCATTGTTTCCTGCTTCAGATAAGACTTTCTACACTGACACTGTAAAGAAATGTGTGGTTATGGAATTTAATTTTTTACTTAAAAAATAAAGAAATCCAGTTTATATAAAAATGCAAAGTTAAGGTAAAGGAAATAATTCATGATGCCCTGGTATTTTACTCCAAACCCTGTGATGAACTTGTGCATTATAGATACATAGTAAATATTCACACAGAGGAGACATAAGCTGCAATAACCACCAGCTAGTTGAGGCAAATCCCAAGAAGGAACCTACAGCTTAACTCAAGTGGATAACAAACACCTGAGCTGTTTTGCCTATACATTGATTAGCATATGCCAACCAATGCTAAGGTTGGTTCTTCACATAACCAAAAACATGATGCCAAAATAATCATTTCAACAACTGACACCACAGTTAAACCTACAATAACTACAGCTCTGTAAGAGCCATACACACAGAAATTCTTTCAGATCCATATATATAAAGGGAAGATATAATAAATCACAGAGTAATGTAATTATTTAGAGAAGAAAGCTAGGCAAATACACACATGACATTTAACCTCCTACAGCTGGTAAACATGACAAATGTCAATACTAAGAACACTAATGCTTACTCTGAAATTAGATATCAAACTTCATGTGAAAGCAAATAAATGAAGTTTTATATTTTTAGTCTTCAAACTGTACGAAGGTAATAAAGTTTTTGTTTATAAAAAACTTATCTTAAATATTTAAAGGTAATTTGCTCTAGAAACTAGCATATGTAGTTTGCAACAGTTTACAACAGTGCGAGAGAATTTTTTATCAGGCTGCAGTGTTTTTAAACACGATTACACAAGATACACATGATAGCACGAGAGTAACTACTAAAGATTCTGGTTTCCCATACTACCTTTGACTTAGTTCTGCAGAACAGTCTAACCTGAGCGGCTATGGAGCCAGGAAATACGGACTCTGGGACCTGCTCCCTTCCCAAGTTCCCTTGAAGGTTAATCTCTTCCTTCCCAGATAGGCAACCAGTGTTGCCACACTGCAATCACAGACCTATCTCCAACCACCTCTTTTTCAGTGCAAACAGTAAAGCAGGAGAGTTTCTCTTGCAAATGTGCATCGTAAAGGAAGACTGCTCTACCCACACATCTTGGAACATCTAGGCATGGCTTTCTGCCAAGGAAAGAGGGCTGCTTCCTCTTCTTTTTGACCCTGACTTGCTTATTGGATTGCACGAGGAACTTGGCTTCTAGTCACTGGTCTAGAAACAGGTCCTTCATCTCGTAAGAGCTGCAGGCAAAGGAACAGCATCCTGCAGGTACTTCCTGAGCTATAATCATTAAGACACTCTTCAAAAGTTACACCTACAGAAATCCCTTAAGAGATCTAGTGTTTGAACAAGGAATTAGTACAGGGGAGGAGATCAATCCTTAATGCTTTTTTTCTTTTTATTTTTTTAAGAGCACAATGGGGGAAGAACTCAAGCATGTACCTTGCAAACCACTTCTGACTTACTGTTGTGAGTGTATACTCAGTAAGTGATCCTACCTGATGATCTTTTACTAATCTCTTTTCATCCTTCTCATGTGAATATTGGTATTTCCCACTTGAGCAGGCAGTATCTGTTGGCTTGCTGCTCCTTCTACAATAACACTGAAACCAAGAGGTAAGCTCACTTAATCCAAGTCTTACAGAGAAAAAGAGTTTTGAGATCACTTCCTACACTTTCTATGGAAAAAGCAGCTACAGAAAGGAGATGGTTCTGCCTTAGAGTTCCAACTGAGAAAGAATGGCAGATATACCTCAGACCTTTAGCCAGCCCATGTGTCAGCCAGCAGAGGCTTATCTCCACCATAACACAAGCTCTACACTGGCAGAGGGTTAAGGAGAGAGCTGAAGAAGTGGAAGAAAACTCAAGTACAAGGCTGGTGTTGAAGCTGGGGACAAGGCTGCTTCATTATTTTGGTTGCTCAACTTGGTCTAAACTTAAGGCTAGTGGCACGCTTGCTCATCACTCATGGGGAATACCATAAAGGGCAGGGCCAAGAGTATCTACCTCTGAGAAGGTAGAAGAGAGTTGTCATTAAATGAGTCCATTTTCCTTCTCCCCCAGTACAAGTTATTTGTATCAAACAGCATTCATTTTGTCTCCACTCAAAATATACACATGTAAACTAGAACCTGGTCACTTGAAGAGATACGGGCAAAAGGAGAATTTTATGTTCTCTGTTTTATGACATCAAGAAGAAGTAAAATCTCAAAGAATGAAATGTGTTTACCAGATAGGAAGAAATGGAGAAAACAGGCTGTTTCACTTGATGAAAATATTGAGGATATTCCTTTGCATGTAGTAACATTGTATTAAAATATGCCGTTGAGCTCAACAGTTACAATACACAAAGCTCAAATAGGCAGGACTTGTGCTATTGGGAAAATACCATCACAATTTTCCTGCGAAACATGACGCAGTCACTCCATGCTGTTTTCTATTCCTCTGCATAAAGGCAGTTTATCATGGAAGTTTTGGTCAAAATAGGTACACAGCTAAAACTCATACTGGAAAGGTGTTATACAAGAGAGAGAACCAGTGCTGATCAGCAATGAATGAATGGGATAAAAATTAATGGTAATATGGGGTAGGGGGGGAAGAGGTGTCTTAACTTCTACAATAGCTTCCAGATTCCTTAATATCCAAACAAAGCACACTACAGTGCAGTATTTATGGCCTGTTAAAAGAAAAAATAAGTTCACAAGCACTAGTGATTCACACAAGCTTGTTTCAATCAGCAAGCTTCCCAAATCAGCAAAACCTGCATATTCATCATTTTTTTTATGGTTCGCATTCACTGTTAATTCCCTTTTGAAACTGAAAAGCTTGATCTCATCAGCTCTTGATGGCTTTCTAAAGGAAACACATACAGCAAAATTACTTTCCTTCAGAAAGATGCTAGTGCCTTTTTTACTGGTTGCAGGGAAAAAAGAAAGTGTGGTTTATTTAAACTTCTGGGGAGCCAGATCCTTAAAAATGGGGGCAAAAGAAAAACCCAAACAACAAACCAAACCACAAAAAAAACCCAAAGAAAAAAACAAAAACCATCCACCCCCCCACCCCCCCCCAAAAAAAACAAAACAAAAAACCTCAACACCAAAACCCCCAGCCAACAGCATGGCATCCTATATTATGGTGAAACCATGAAACAGAAGGGAATGTCTACTTAATTTCTGAACACAGAAATCAAAATAATTTTCAAAAGATAGGACAGAAAGGGACAGTCTGCATCCTCAAGAGATCAGTTCAGAATATTACCTATAGTGCTTTTACTGCTTCCATTCTGCAGCTTTATGGAAAAGTAGCAAAGTTATGCTATTCTTATTAAAGATCCAGACTCTGAACAACTTCTAGCTAAGAACACTGTTCTGCAAGGCAGATGCTCCTGCTTTTGTTTCACCAACAGCCTGACTAGGTACTCTACAAGAACTCACAGAACATTTGATTCTTTTCAGATAAAAGAAACTCCTGTTTTGTTTTTTCTACAGAAAACTCTAGAAGAGAAGCTCATATCATGGAAGTTAGAGACTGGTAACCACTCTGGAAGCACTCAGGTCATTATAACAAATGCCACCCATGTTTGTCCAAAACAACCCAAACGGCACTACTGAACTGGCCCCCCAATTTGGTTGTATTTTTGTGGTGCTCTATCTTTCTCCTGGGCATAATCTCAACTTGTGACACATAGTATATTCTTCTTCTTATGCATTTGGAGTCACTGCCAGAAACATCTATTTTAACGTTCATGAGAGGCATATAGCACAGTTTTCAGAACATAAATGTTACAATCTAGTATCAGTGAAAATCCAGAAGCCACCATATTTTCACTGAGGACACCTTCAGGAGAAGAAAGGATAGGTTTGCTGCTAAAACTTCTTGACACGAGAGGTACTAGAGCAGATTTTTGCAGACCAGTCATTCCTGGGCTGATCCAAAAAGGACAGGCTACAGGACATAAAAAAACCACAGTTTGCACGCAAGGTGTGATCACTTCTATGTTCTTTTAAAGAAGGGCCACATTAAACCCAGTTTTGTTAGGCTGATTCATCATTTGGGCAAGGTCTTATACAAGTTGTGAGAGTAAACTGGTAAAAAAAATGACACACAAAAAAAATTAAAATCTTAGTGGTAGGTTTAAGCTTAGGTCAAGACTATTTCCAACCCCTGCCACCACCACCAGATTTTTACTTCAATTAACAGAATCACAGAATGGTTTGTGTTAGAAGGGACTGTAAAGATCATCTAGTTCTAAACCCCTGCCATGGGAAGGGACACCTTCCACTAGACTAGATTGCTCAAAGCCCCATTCAACATGCCTTTGAACATTTCCAGGGATGGGGCATCCATCCCAGCTTCTCTGGGCAACCTGTTCCACTATCTCACCACCCTCACAGTAAAGAATTTCTTTCCAGTGTTTCTAATCTAAAACTCTCCTTTGTTAGTTTAAAGCCATCCCCCTTGTCTCATCCCTAAATGTCCCTGTTAAAAAGTCTCTCTTCAGCTTTCTCATAGGCCCCCTTTAGGTACTGGAAGACTGTTACAAGGTTTCCCCACAGCCTTCTCTTCTCCAGGCTGAACAACCCCAACTCTCTCATCCTGTCTTCATAGGAAAGGTGCTCCAGCCCCCAGTTATCTTCGTGGCTCTCCTCTGGACTTGCTTCAATGGATCAACATTCTTCTTGTGTCGGGGGCTCCAAAACTGGACACAGTAGTCCAGGTAGTGTCTCACAAGAGCGGAGTAGAGGGGGAGGATCACCCTGTCTCCTCGTGGGACTGATTTACACCTCTCTCTCTCTGTAATAAAGGTCTATGAAAATGTTTCAAACCCACTCAGTTATGGGCATTACTTTTGGAGAGCAATCCTGGGGAGGCAGAAATTATGGAATATGTGCCATTAACAAAACTGCAGTGAAAGATTTCTCTCTTCCTTTGCTACCTGCATATACGTGTTGCAACATGTGTAGTCATCTGCCTCATTTCTGTGAACTTTGCACAAGTATAATTGATTAGGAAAAGTTACAAGGATAGTTTAAAGTTTAGAGAAGAGGCCAGAAGGAAGAATGGAGGAACAGGAATATACAGAATAAGACTTTAAAATCATGTTATAGTACTAAACAAGTTTTTCTTCACATACATTGTAACACTGGCCACCTTTCATTCAAAACTTCTGTACTCTGACTTCCTCTACCAAAAATGCACCACAAAAATCCCATCACTCACAAGCAACAAGAAAGCTCAGAATTAGCTTTTCGTAATGCATACTGCCCAGTTTATACTGACTTTAGTGCTTTCTATACTAACAATGTATCTTGCTGAACATATAGGAACAAGCTCTATTTTCACAATTCATCACTAATAAAACTTTTCAGACCTAAAGAGCAAGAAAAATCTACGTCTTCTCTTCTGTGGAGACCTCGCTGCTGATCACTTTCAGTCACTCTTTGTACCTTGCCCTTCCTTTAGCCAACCATCAATTCTTTCTTGGATTTTTGACCCTCCTTCTGATAATAAGCGTTACAGAAAGAAAATATAGTCCTACAGTAGCAGAAGAAAACATTCACAGCAGTACAAGCATCAAATGGCTCATTAAAGGAATAATCCTTTAGACATCTGTTCGCTGCTATAACTCAGCTTTCAGCCATGAAATTAGAACCTGGAGCGAATGTCACAGCGTATTAAGAAGAAATATTCCTTACATCAATGTTCACTTCACAGTCTGTCTGTATCAATAAAGAAACCTGAGTGGTACAGCTTCAAGCTGAACAGGGTAGTTCCAAAAGTAAGAACCTTTTCTACACAAAAAAAGGACAGAAATGCTTATGATTCCACATATAGTGTACATACATGATCGAAGGTGAGTCTCCTCTAAAGAGAAAGGCTCTGGAGTTCTAGGCCACATATATTTCTATCCACCCAATAACCAGAACATGTACTCTGTGAGAAGGGGGAAGGGGGTGGAAGAAAGAGGTAAAAGCTCAAGTTCCCTAAACCTACTCAGGACAACTTCATATTCATAAACATTGAAGACTTTAGGATAAACCCAGCAACAAGTAATCTCCTATTTTTGTGGTGTGAATTTGCACTGCCTGTAAACAACTACAACATAAAGGCACTGCATACTGGGTCTCAGATGGTCATTTCTCTCACTCTAACATTCCCCCCTCAACACCTGGTAAAGTTGACTAAGGATCCCTGTAACAGAAAAGGATTTATAAATATTTTTATGGAATTATCACATTAATGGCTAAAATTCAACACCGAGTACCGAAGTGAAAAAACAAAAATAAATCTGTATTTTAACATGATATTACAAATATTAACTCTGGTGGAAGACTTCTGATGAAGGTGTAAGTACTTCACTTACATTTCAGCAACCACTTCCGTCAGCTAGTACATTTAACAGAACTTCGACTACAGTGTGACACCTAGCACAGAGGCCTAGTTTGTATGGTTTTGCAAAGTCTCTTTAATAAAGACTTAAGACACCACATGCACATACTTAAAAACACTGAAGTACCTACCGAGAATAAGGAGAAATGAAACTAACCTTCATTCTACTCCAAAGACCATTGCTCGAAAGAGTCAAAGCAAACTCCAACAATACAAACCAAACATGTTTAAAGCATCACCTACATGGAAAGCAAGAATCCATCCACTTTTCCCAAGACTACACTTATAATTTGGTCATGTCATCTCCATTCCTTTCCTTCTTTCTTTTTCAAAGACACAGACAGACAATCACTAATTTTTACTACTAAACTCAATCTCCCTGTGGGACAACCATCCTTTGCAAGCCTCGAATGAATGGGAGCTTGAACAGCTCAACACATACACTGGGGTAAGGATTCGCGGATTACAAGAGACTGGGGCCGCTGCAGAGGCAGTATCCGCCTCACAGCGCACCCGGGACGAAAACAAGCGCTCAGCTATACGGGTGGGTGCGACGGCCGCACTCGTAGTCCCCGCAACTCCCCGCACCACACTTGGACACCGACTGCTCCCCTCCAGGCACTGCAGGAGGAGGCCCCGCCGACAGCCGGCTCCGACCCCGCTGGGCCGGCACCCACTGGGCCGAGCCGGGCCGCTAGCGGTGAGGGGCGCCCCCACCCAGACACATCACTGAAGAAGACCCGGGCCCCTGCAAAGGCCGGGCGTGGCGCGTAGGCACGGCAGGCCCGACGTACTACCCGGCTGGGCGCCACCAGGCCTCATCTCCTTGGCGGCGAAGGAAGCGACAGCAGCGCCTCAGACCCGGGCCTCGGCCGGGCCGCCGCACCAGCCAGCACCGGGTACCTCCGCGGCCGCCACCAGCAGACCCAATACCTCCCCGCAGAGCCCCACTCACCGCCGCTGCCCGTTTCTCCCGGCGCCGCTGCTGGACCCGCTTCCGGTTTCCGACGCCACCGCTCCCCCGCCCGCTGCCTGCCACGTCCACACTCCCCGCCAACCCCCGGCTGCCACCGCGCCCCACCCAGCGGGGCCCGGATGCGGCGCAGGCGCCGTGCGCCACGACCGCGGGCGTTGACGTCGCTCCGGGGATGCCCGCCGGTAGTGGCGTTCTTCGGTCTTGACGGGAGGCCCTGCGCGCCGCTCCGTTGGCGGCCGGTTGTCCGGAAGTGCCAGGCGGCGGCACTCGGTGGGACCAGCCGCCGCTCCGACGGCGGTTGTTGCCGGGGCTCCGAGGCTGCAGCCGCCCTCGCACTTCCCTTGGGCCCCGGGCAGCGCAGGGAGAGGGCTGTTGAGGGGCCGCTGTGGCTGTGGTGGGGGCAGATTCCTCAGGTCGTTTGCATAGTCCGAGAACCAGTGTTTCACGCGGGAGCGGGGCCCGGCCCGGCGCTGCTCAGCCTCAGCCCGTGCTGAGCAGGGTGCCCTTGGCTGCTTGTCCCGTCAGCGGCCTCCGGAAAAACGCGACTTGGGAGCACACGGAGGCAGTTTCGCACTGAAATGCACTGTGGTGCGGAAGTTGCGCGCTACCTAGTAATGTTTGTTCGTATCTGCTCAGCAGCACCATGCAGTGGCACTGCGTGAGCGGTGGAGTAGGCAATCAAGTAAAATTGCGTCCTATGGATGTTGCAGTACAAAGGTATCACAGAGATCTGTAAGATGCTTATTAGTCACTGAGAACTAAGCACATGCAGAATAAGGAAGAGTTTGTGCTTGGGATCTTAACAGAAAGTTACGTTGTAAGCCCTGTAGCAAACAAAAAATGGATTTTATTTTCCCTTATAATTCCAAGGGATCAAGGTGGCTTGGGATAGCAAGGAGGTCTTGTCTGTCATGGCCCTAAAAGAGCAAATAGTGAAGGAGGAGACCCACCTGGAGTACTGCACCCAGCTCTGGAGCCTGAAGCGCAGAAAAAAGCTGTAGACTTGTTGGAGCAGGTCCAGAGAAGGGCTGCAAAAATGACCGGAGGCATGAATGCCTCTCCTATGAAGACAGGCTGAGAGAGCTGAGGTTGTTCAGCCTGGAGAAGAGAAAGCTCCAGGGAGACCATACTGCAACTTTCCAATACTTAAAGAGGGCTTGTAAGAAAGATAGGGACAGGCTTTTTAGTACAGCTTGTAGGGATAGGATGAGAGATAATGGCTTTAAACTAAAAGAGGGTCAGTTTAGACTACATATAAGGAAGAATTTTTTTACATTAAGGGTGGTAAAACACTGGAACAGGAAGAGGTTGCTCAGAGAGGTGGTAGATGCTCACCCCTGGAAACATTCAGGGCCAGGTTGGACTGGGCTCTGAGCAACCTGGTCTAGCTGAAGATGGCCCTTTCTCTAAAAAGTCCCTTTAAAAGTCCTTTCCCACCCAAACCATTCTGTGATTCTGTGACCCCGATGCAAAGCCATTCTCCTGGCCACTGACGAGTACATGTATGTGGTGCCCTGCAGAGAACTGTCTGAATCCCATCTGTATAGCTAATCCTGGCTATTCTGGTCCCAGTGTCTAATACTAGGAATGGATGTAGGGGATGTCAGGGAGCAGCAAGCTGTAGAGGGAGCACATCACATCTATAACCTGCCTGTGGTTTTCAGAGCAGATGCATGGTGCTACACTGTGTAGTAACACTAGCTGCATGGAGAAAACAAGTGCAAAGGACATCACTTGCAAGCTGTTTTTGTTTAGTTTCTTAGGTGCTATCACCTGATCTTGTATGAGTTTGTGCCTGCGTCATGTCCTTGTCTGAAACTCATACTAATGAACCCTGAGAGCTGGATGACTCCAGGATTTGCATTTGGAATGGGAAGTGGAAATAAAGTTTTTACTGAAATGCTTCCAGCCTGAAGAGTGTCAGACAAAGCTTTGGAGAGACAGGAGGTGTGCTATTTTCAGCCGTGCTCCGGTGAGAGATCAGTCGTGTATGTGGAGGGGGGGACACAGAGGGTGAGATTGACATGACACGTGTGTCAGACAACTCTGGCCCCTTACCAAGAGGAGAATCAAATGTCTAATCATAGGCAGAGCAGCAGCTGGTTGTCCAGAAGAGCAGTGAAGGCTGGGCTTGACAGTTTCAACTCTCCTCTTGGGTGTGTGAACTTGAAGGAGAAAGTGTGCACAGGGCCTTTTGGAGGACCGGAGAGTTGTGTGAATTTTGAAGATGGGAGTAGAAGATACTGCCTGTTAAGAACTGGAGTCTGTTTTGAAGTTGGGAAGACAAAATATCCAAAGCATAGAAATCATGGGAGCTGAAGAAGAAATGCTCATCACTCTGTCTGGAGGTGCCCCCTGGGGCTTCCGGTTGCAAGGCGGTTCAGAGCAGAAACGGCCCCTTCAGGTGTCAAAGGTAGGACTTTGAGATGTGAACCGTGAAAGCAGAGTTGTTCTGCTGAACTCAGATATCCCTTCTGAGTCGGGCATCTTTCACTGCCGTTAAGGAATGCAGGAACTCCTTTCTGTGACAGCAGATCTTAAAAGGAAAACCTGGGTGGAATGATCAAGCAGGGTGTGGGGTGGGTCCTGAAATAGATGCTGTTGAGGTAAAGACAAGTGTTGGGTGAAGATCTGCGTCTGTGCAGATCTGTACAGCTCAGGCACTTTATAATGTGTACAGCTCTCCCCAGCTGTCAGCAGACATATAAACATAGTGACTTGTGCAGGAAAAAGGGCTAAAATGTGGAAGCTTCAGTACTCTTGTAAGACATCCAACAAAACAAAAAATAATTTAAATTGAAGCAAAAAAAAGTCATATTTGCAATTTAACTGTCCCTAACGCTTCATTACTATAGGTTTCAAAATATATGCACATTTCTTACGGTCTCTTCTGTTGGCAAAACCTTCTCAATATTGTCTGAAGTGAATATTTTTAATGCTCTAAAGCAGCAAATATTGGTTCCATTTCAAGAATTAAAGAAAAGCCGTTGATTGGATGGGAGATGAAATAATAAAAAAGAAGTAAGAACCTTGAGTTGCACTACTTTTGATAAGCAACTGTTACTGATCTCTTTCATAAAGACTAGTGAGTAGTGTAAAATTAGGAATAAGTCCTCCGTTTACTAAGCTCATAACAGCTACATTAGCCTTGACACAATGATACCTTGGGATGTCTCACTGGAAGCTACCCATCAACAGGAATGAAAAAATGCTGTGCTGAGGTCCTTTTGTTTCCTTAAGTAGACTGCTTCTGACAGAGAAGTTTAAAATGAAATGTACTATGTCATTTGGCTCACCCCAGGTCAAGAAGTGTTTGTGTGTAACTTCTGCCAGATGATTTGAAATCCCATAGCTTGACCCTGAAGTGGATGTTTCTTACACAGAGAAAGATTATTTTTCACCACGAAAACAACTTCTGTGCATACACATAGAGCTTCAGGTATGGAAAAGAAAGAATCAATATAATTTAAACCGATATCTGGCATCAGTGGTTGTTAGGAAAGTGGGATTTTCAGTGGCTACATAAGATCTGTAGGGTCTAGGGTTATTTTGACTCATTTTTTTTTCCCCAAATAGACAAGAAACTGGGACTGGAAAAAGGAGATACTGAGTGTCTTATAAAGGATTGAACAGGGGTGAGAAGCAGCTATTACTCAGGCTAAGTTGCACCTTAAGGTGAATGATTAGTAGCACTTCCAGAAAGGTATTAACTAGGAATTAAGGTATGACACCCAAAATTGGGTGTCATACCTTAAGTCTAGCATATTGCAAAAAAAAAGTAATTATGGAATATGTAATTGATACAAATCCATTTGAGGCTCAATTCTTCAAGCAGGACTTTGATTTTGTAATTATTGCTTTGGCCTATTATTGTCCAGAATTTAATGGCATCCAGGTGACCATACATGCTCACTGTCTTAAAGGCAACACCATTTAAACAGTCTCCAAAGAACGGGTTTATAGATCCTTACCACAACTCAGTAAGATCATATCTGAATGTAAACTGCTTAGAAGAGAATAAACCCCCAGGAATAACTCAATGGTCCTCCTCTTAGTGTGGAGGGAGTAGAAGTTTGAATCTCAGGTTTTGTCTCTTTGAGTTGAAAGATGAAATCTTCATTCTCCTGCAGTTAGGATTCTACTATTGACACCAGCAGGATGAAGTGTGGGCCAAAATGCTGCCTGTAAAGCATCTTCCAAAACTCTTAATATCATTGGCACTGTTTGTTTGGTTATTTTAGAAGCCAAAGATGGGAATGAGCCCATTGCAAAAGAAGCCTGAGCTGGATTGTATCTGTGTGGTATAGCACAGAGAAACAGAGCAGTACTGTCTATTTCTCTATTGGTTTGTTAGAGCTGGAACTCATGTGGATGAGCAATTTGCTCTGTTTGGCCTCCATCCAGGAGATGAATGCCACTGGGCAGCACTGGGAAGTGTGGTCAGATGGAGGTGTCACTGAGAATGAGCCTGCCTAGCGGAGATAAGGTCAAATAATGACACCGTGTTCATTAGTACAATGAAGAATATGTTGTGCATGTATGAACAGACAGATTAGATAAATGAGAGGGTCTAAGTAAGCAGATTTCTCTCAAATGAAGGACTCTTGGGGAGAAAGAGAAGTGTTCGTATGAGACCAGGAAAACTTTGGCTTAGCAGAACGTAAATACTAGCGCTTTGGTTCTTTTAGCAAAACCTATTTGGACAGAACGGGGAAGGGCAGAACAGGAACATGGATGGATCTGGAGAAAATGTGATGCGATACAGGCGTGAATATCCAATAGGTGCCAGGAAATAGTTGAGTGGATACAGCTGGTGTCTCAGGGGATTCCAGTGCTATCGCTTTAGGCAGTTTCAACTTCTAGACTAAAAATGTCATAGCAGTAACACTAAGGAAAGATGCTTACCCCCTTGGATGTCAAGTCATATTGCTTCTGTACACTTTCTGGGTGAAAAAGAGCAGTAAAAGCTACTTTGGGAAATATACTAAGTATAACAAATAAGTTATATATAAATTATATACACTGTAGTTATGTAGAGCTGGTAGAATTGCTAGACCAGACTAGGTTAATAGTCACTCCATCTTCTTGCTTCCCCTTTCCTTTGTGTTTCAG